GCTTGACTGATGACCACAACTGAGCCCATCATTTATATTGCTAAGTGATAGTTGTTAAGTGAGTTTTTCCATTTTACAATATTTCTTGCCACAGTTGTTAAGTGAATCACTCGGGCTGTAAAGTTAGCAATACAGTTGTTAAGTGAATCTGACTTCCCCATTGATTTTGCTTGTCAGAAGGTCACAAAAGTTGATCACATGACCCCAGGACATGCAACTATCATAAATATGAGTCAGTTGTCAAGTGTCTGATCATGTAATTTTTGTAATGCTGCAATGGTTGCAAGTGTGAAAAACGGTCATAAATCATGTTTTTTAGTGCCATTGTAACTTCAAACGGTCACTAAATGAAATGTTGTCAGTTGAAGACTATCTGTATTCAAATTCCTTATGTCCTGCTTTATTGCTTTTTAACACCTTATCAGAGGGAGCCAATTCTTTATATTGCCTTGCTATCAATCTCCCATTTGAGGGTCATCTCTCCTAATGCTTTTCTTCTGAGCCTATCAGCTTTTCTAAAAGTATTTATGGAGATAGATGGCAGGGCTAAAAGGTGGAAAGCAACTTACCAAGGGCCATTTAAAAAACTCCGGGGAAGGAGGTAGAGAGTATTGTACAGGTGAAACTCGAAAAATTAGAATATCGTGCAAAAGTTCATTTATTTCAGTAATGCAACTTAAAAGGTGAAACTAATATATGAGATAGACTCATTACATGAAAAGTGAAATAGTTCAAGCCTTGATTTGTCATAATTTTGATGATTATGGCTTACAGCTCATGAAAACCCCAAATTCACAATCTCAGAAAATTAGAATATTGTGAAAAGGTTTAATATTCTAGGCTCAAAGTGTCCCACTCTAATCAGCTAAGAAAGCCAGAACACCTGCAAAGGGTTCCTGAGCCTTTAAATGGTCTCTCAGTCTGGTTCAGTAGGAATCACAATCATGAGAAAGACTGCTGACCTGATAGTTGTGCAGAAAACCTTATGGAGGGTGTCACCCTCCATAAGGAGGGAAAGCCTCAAAAGATAATTACAAAAGAAGTTGGATGTTCCCAAAGTGCTGTATCAAAGCACATTAATAGAATGTTATGTGGAAGGGAAAAGTGTGGAAGAAAAAGGTGCACAAGCAGCAGGGATGACTGCAGCCTGGAGAGGATTGTCAGGAAAAGGCCATTCAAAAGTGTTGGGGATTTTCACAAGGAGTGGACTGAGGCTGGAGTCAGTGCATCAAGAGCCACCACACACAGACAGATCCTGGACATGGGCTTCAAATGTTGTATTCTTCATCAAGCCGCTCCTGAACAACAAACAATGTTAGTAGCATCTTACCTGGGCTAAAGAAAAAAAGAACTGATCTGTTGCTCAGTGGTCCAAAGTCCTCTTTTCTGATGAGAGCAACTTTTGCATCTCATTTGGAAACCAAGGACCCAGAGTCTGGAGGAAGAATGGAGAGGCACACACTGCAAGATGCTTGAAGTCCAGTGTGAAGTTTCCACAGTCTGTGTTGATTTGGGGAGCCATATCATCTGCTGGTGTTGGTTCACTGTGCTTGACAATGCAGCTGTCTACAGGAGATTTTGGAGCACTTCATGCTTCCTTTCGCAGACGAGCTTTATGGGGATGCTGACTTCATTTTCCAGCAGGACTTGGCACCTGCCCACACTGCCAAAAGTACCAAAACCTGGTTCAATGACCATGGGATTACTGTGCTTGATTGGCCAGCAAACTCGCCTGACCTGAACTCCATAGAGAATCTATGGGGCATTGCCAAGAGAAAGATGAGAGACATGAGACCAAACAATGCGGAAGATCTGAAGGCCGCTATTGAAGCATCCTGGTCTTCCATAACAGCAGTGCCTCAGGCTGATAGCATCCATGCCACGACGCATTGAGGCAGTAATTGATGCAAAAGGGGCCCAAACTAAGTACTGAGTACATATGCATGCTTATACTTTTCAGAGGTACGATATTGTTCTATGTACAATCCTTGTTTTATTGATTTCATGTAATTCTGAGATTGTGAATTTGGGGATTTCATGAGCTGTAAGCCATAATCATCAAAATTATGACAAATCAAGGCTTGAACTATCTCGCTTTGCATGTAATGAGTCTATCTCATATATTAGTTTATGAAAAATTAAATTGCATTACTGAAATAAATGAACTTTTGCACGATATTCTAATTTTTCGAGTTTCACCTGTATTTCATTCTTTCAAAGCCACCAAGATCTGAATTAAATTAAGGCTATTTGATTTTTTATAATTTTATTTACACTAGCAGAATATATCATGGTTCATGATGTTCCTTTGGCTATTGAGTAATTATTCTTTGGCTGTTGAGTAAGAACAATCTGTCTAGTTTGAAGACATTCCATCTTTCATTTTCCTGTGATATTGGCATAGATCTGTGTTTCCTTAGATATATGTCTCTTTTACACACGCACCCACAATCTATATTCAGTACAGATTTTTTCGCAATATTACTGTTTTCTAAATTATATTTGAAGAATCCATTAGACCATAGGTTAATGAGATGTAAAACGTGTAGGAAGAAATTGCCCTTGAAACTTTGCTATGTATGTTGTTGTGGCCAATTTCAAAGCCAGTTAGAGGACTATAAACAAAATTCAAATTAGGAAAAGAAGACACTGACAATGATTTTTCTTTGAATATTAACATTTCAAAGTGTCACATTGAAAGTTAGTTTTATCAGCAGGAGCCTTCATATTTAGATTTCAAATTCTGAAGAAGATGACTTATTCAGGACTTTGACAGTACCTTGTTCACAGAAAGATATATTTCTTGGGAAAGAAAAAAGGAAAGGGAAAAAATTGCTTTTCAGGTAAAGTGAATATGACTATATTTCTGTGTCCTTGAGCTGCTCAGAAGATTGATAAAATCATTTAGAAAAAATGAATAATATTTATACATGTTTCTGTAATTCTCTTATTTCCCTCCCCATTGCTATACAAGGATGGCACTTAAAAACAAAGAAGCATTCAAGAACAAAAACCACAATAGAAAGAGAATATTGCAGTACTGCTCTATTTTGTATACAGTACATATTTTATTCAGATATTTATTCCTGAGATTTGTTTGGATGCAAATACTATTTCTAGAACAAGCTGTGCCATTCAATAACATTTGTTAGAAAAGGTGCTATCCTGATTTTTTGCCACAATAGACTATGGATAGTATTGACTTATGACCACAATTGGTCACAACTGAGATTGGAATTTTTGTTGCTAAATGATCTGATTGTTACACGAGTCATGTGGCTGAACCCGATTTTACAACCATTTTTACCATAGTCTTTAAGTGAATCATGCAATTGATTAGTGAATCACATTAAGCAAATCCACCTTTCCCCTTTGAATTTGATTGTCAGAAGTTGGCTGCAAATTGTGATCATGTGACCCCAGCAACTGGGTATTTGCAACTGTGCAAATACAAACCAGTTGCCAAACATCCAAATTGTGATCACCTGACCATGTGGGTGCTACAACATTGTAACTTTGAGGAAAGGTCAAAGTCACATAAGTCACTTTTTTCAACACCATTATTTCTCTGAACTGTTGTTAAGCAAATGGTTGTAGGCTGAAGACTACCTGTAACACAGCCCTTGTCCTATAATGTCTTAGAAGAGTGGTTGTAGAGGACAGGGGAAAAGAACATTTCCAGGTGCCATCATGTGATTTTGCATAAAAATACAATATATTTTAAAATGGTAGAAATGTTGTTCTCCACGTACTAAAGCAAGGCTGTCAAACTCGCGGCCCATGTGTCACACACTGGCCACGCCCATGCCCGGTTTAATGAAGGCAAAAAAAATCCCGATACATCATGTGACACCACCATGACAACGTGAGTTTAACACCCCTGTACTAAAGTGTTGCCCATTAACCAGTCATTGGTTGTATTGGAGCCAAGTACTGTTTTCACTATATCCTTCTTAAGTATAAAAGCAATGTCATTTCTTCTTTGTTCTTCATGCCCTGAGTAACCAATTATCAGCCCTTCCAGGTAAACCAAACAGAATCACTTATTCTACTTTATTGTAAGGCTACATTAACAAAATCTTGATCTTCAGACTGCAAGTGTCAAATCCCAATCCATCTCAATTCACTGATGCCTAAAATGTCAGGTTTGTAGTTGTTTCATTTCATCCTTCACTGTGTCAAGTTTTCTCATGTACATGCTTTTTGTGTTCATGTGTTCGTGTTGCTTTTTGTGTTCATGTTCACTGTAATTCTCCATCCCAGAGTGGTGAAAATATAAAATTTATAATAACAGGCACTTAAGGTATCTTTTAAACCAGTCATATTTACAGGTTAGTTTATCTTTCTTAATGGTAAAGGTAGTTCTTATTTCACCTTGAAAACTATTGGCCCAGGTATAATATTAAAAAACAGATTATGTTTCTATTTTATTCTAAAAAAGTCATACCATACTCTCTCTCTGTGTGTGTGTCTTTCAAATTAAATGTTTTGTATAATTTTAATCTATCACATCAAGAGGACAAGAAATGAGGTTTTAATGCACTGATAACTTACAAAATATGAAAACCTAAGTTATCATGGGATTGAAATCCCTGTCAATACAGTTTATTTCAGCACAGATGCTAATTGCAGAAGAAAATCCAAAAGATTCAAAGGATTTGTATATGTGTGGGTGTGTGCATTATCATATTGTTATTCAGACAAATAGCACGCCTGATTGCAGAATGTGGGGAATTAATATTTGCAAATCATTATTGTACAAAGAAGTGCCAATAATGAAAAGTAATATTATTTGCAAACATTGTTTGGGAACACCAGCTCTAATAAATACAATAGCAGATGGGTCTAGATTGAATATAAGTCACGAAGAGACTCCAGAGGCTTTGCTTGTTTATGAGCAGCTGCTGAACCTTAAGAGGAAATTTTACCCTGGGTGTCTTCTATTGTTCTAAATGCTGGATTTAAAAAACAACAACAAAAACCAGGGGGGCAGGAGACATTGTACTTTGTGTGTGTAGGGAGGTATTGTTTAATATCTCCGATCATCTTGCTGGATTTTCTCTTTCATTTTACTTGTCCCTTTTCGGTAATAAAGCTGGCGTTGGAGATCGGAGAGTTGAAATGCAGGACTCTACAATTTAGAGAAGAGATAATTAGCCATGAAATGGCAGGAAATAAGGCCAGTATTAATTCTTGGCCTGAATTATGTTGTTTGCTGCGGCATTTTTTAAATCATTGTTTTTTTAAAATACACTTTCAAATGCTGATTTTTTAAATTATATTTATTCTAAGATATATATAATTCTTTACAACAACAAAATTTTACCTATTCCCAAGAAATGCATTGCATTTGTATATCCATTGAGTTCCAAATTTAAAATTAGGCAGCTACATCATTTTATGTTATGTTATTTGATATGAATTTGCAAATTTCTGTAGATTTTCCTTCAGGTACAACCTTCAAATTAGAGCCAGTTTGGTGTAGTGATTAAGGCATCAGGATAGAAACAAGGAGCCCATGATCCCGCCTTAACAAAGCCAGTTGGGTGACCTGGGAGAGGTCCTAGGAAAGAGGCAATGGCAGGCTACTTCTGAAAAACCTTGTCAAGAAAACTACGGGGACGTGCTCAGATATTCTCTGAGAATTGAACATGATTGAACAGAAAAAAAGTGAAACAATCTTCAAATCCCTAAAGTGTTCAGAAGAATTAATAATTCTACTTGCTGAGATACCACCAGCTTTTATTATGTAACCATCTGATCAATAAAATTCTGGAGGATTAAATCTTATTTTAGTTAATACATTATTAATTACTATTGATTCAGTAAAGAACTGAAAAGTTAACGGCAACATCATTTATATGAGACTTAATCCAAATGACAAGTGCATAATAGAGATTCTTGTGAAATAGTTTCCAGGGATAATTAGAGAAAGAAAAAAAAGAAAGATTGTTGACTATTTTATTTTTTAAACAAAAAAATACATTAAAAAGAAGTACTCTTATGATGAAAGTAAGAGTTAGAAACTATCATGGAAAATATACACTGCTCAAAAAAATAAAGGGAACACAAGCAGAAGACATCCGAGATCTGAATGAATGAAATAGCCTTATTAAATAGTTTGTTTGTTACATACAGTAGTTTTGTGTTTCCTTTAGTTGTTTTGGCAGTGTGTAAACTACTGTATGTAAAGAACAAAGTATTTAATAAGGCTATTTCATTCATTCAGATCTCAGATGTCTTCTGCTTGTGTTCCCTTTATTTTTTTGAGCAGTATATATTGCTGATGAAAAAATTCTTAATAACTGAAAATAAAAGAGGTTATTCCAGACACTGAAATGAATGAACCTTACATTTTCATGCTTTGAGTTTATGTATTGCAAATCAGGAAATTATTAATTTTACCATTTGCATAATAGGCAGAAGGACAAGTTGGTGGATGGGAAGAGAAGCATTAATACTCAAAGCTTAAATGGTGGTATTTTTACCTAACCTGACATATTTGATTCATGGAAATCAAACAAATATTAACTTATGTCTATGAGTTAATGGGTGGGTTATTAAATTAATGAGTCCAATTTATATGTTGTTACAAAAATACTAATGAAATGTTAAAGGTAGTTAAAATCTAAATATATATATCTTTAGAATACAGACCATTGAAAAAAATCTTTGTAGTAAAAGCTTCTTATGTACTACCAGTAACTTCTTTCCATTATTGTATTATTGTCTTAATACAATAGAGAATTAAGACCTAAGATTAGTCACTTGTGCAGCAAAGCAGAAAACTGTTTCTTCCTTCTCCCAACTGAAAGTAATTAAATTAAGAAGAGGGGATAGCAATTTCCATCCCAATACTTGTGATCCCTTCTTCCTGATATATTGATTTAGCATAAAACACTTTATTTTATTTTGCTTCAGATATACCTATAATTTACATGGAATTCACTAGGAGTTTTAATGGAGTGTAATGTTTCTGATAGCTGACAACTTATGAAAGATTTTATGCTCAAAAAATGGAGATTAAAATGGGTGAAATATTCATCTGTCTCTGTTTTTTTGTGAGATACAATATTCATAATGCAAAATTCTGTGGCAAGTATTTATGTTTATTTTCATTTTTTTCCATGGAAGCCTTATTTGGAATGGCTTTTAATATGTATTAGTGCCTTAGAGAATTGAGTCATGGAACAACTCAACTAAAACTTTCTCATATTGATAAAAGAGTTGAATTCCCTTATCTCTTATATTCGGGCTGATACTGCGTACGCCAAGTAATAACAAAGTTGTTTTGCCCTTTTTATTGTACTTTGACTTCATGGTTTCAAAAGGAAGGAAGGAAGGAAGGAAGAAAGAAAGAAAGAAAGAAAGAAAGAAGTTTGTTAAGAATGATTACATAAACAACAATAAGAGTAATTTATTAAATTTATATGTTGCCTAATTCCCAGCCATTCTGGGTGCATCTATATCAATGTATTATACTTGTTTGTCAATAATATATTTTTACAATTGCTAAATTGCTAATTCTATAAAGTAGTCTTTCTTTCTTTCTTTCTTTCTTTCTTTCTTTCTTTCTTTCTTTCTTCCTTTCTTTTTCATTCATTCATTCTTTCTTTCTCTTTCTCTTTCTTTTTTCTCTTTCTTTTTTCTTTTTCCTTTCTTCCTTCCTTCCCCTTCCTTCCTTCCTTCCTTCCTTCCTTCCTTCCTTCCTTCCTTCCTTCCTTCCTTCCTTCCTTCCCTTATATGGCACCCCATTTCTAAAACAGCTCACAAGAAATAACATTAACTTATTAGAGCCTTACAAAACAATTATATAAACTTAAAGAACAGCAAGGTCCTGTACGGATATTTGAGACCTCTGCCAGATCTCACAGGATAGGCAAATACAACTTTAAAAAATTGTCTGAAGGATACCCAGTCCCTGAGCCATGTAGGACTTTGAAAGTAATAGTCGGTACCATGAATCACACCCAGAAGAAAATATTGTTCTGCAGTATAAATATTTCTGTTTTCATAAATTTTCATTGGTTACATTAGTACCCTTTCCTTATATCGAGTAACATTCCTTAATATTAGATATTCAGTGGCACGTATACATCTCCTCATTATCCCTCAACCAGTCTAATGGTGATCTGTCTTATGCACAGTCAAGACAATTTTTAATCCTTGTTTAAATTTGTTTTTACTTTCCTGATCCTTCCTTATGCATTGCAAACAAAAATGTTTTGCCTACTGTGATTTCAAGATCCTTTCAATCTAAAATTTTGAAAAGCCATATAAATATTCATTCTGGAAGAAACACCCAGATATGGCATCTAAGAAAGACAAATTAATCTTAATTTGGTACAGGTTATTTTTTAAAAATATTTTTTAATATTTAATATTTTTGAATCAAAATACATTTGCACATTGTTAGCATTGTCCTTTAAATAATAAGGAAATTGTCCACATCACAATGGCCTGTGGTTTAAGGTTTTTTTTTTTACTATATGAGAAGGGTACCAAAAGAAACAAACAGAACCTTATCACCACTTTGTAAATAGATTATGTCTGGCAGATGCTTTCTGTATTGCGTTAATTTAAATTGTATTCAAATAGCCAGGAAACCACTGTGGGGACCATATTGCAACCAAGCTTGTCTTCTTGACTAGTGTCATATTGGTGTACATATTGCTAAAAACCAAGACAAACTTTGAAAAAAAAAGTTTTTTATAAATTATGAATGTTACACCATCACAATGACAATAAAATCATGCAAAAATAAAACATATTCTGTTTGTTCTATCGATTCATTTCAGGAAGAAGGAGGGACCTTCTACTTAGCACTAGACCAACTTGTTCACATTGTATATAAAATGTACAAAGGTACTAAAAGGAAAATAATGGCTTCCCGATTATGTTATTTTTAAATAAACATATATTTTCATTGAAGTGTTCATGTTCCTATGGGAAAATAGCATATTTATTTATTTATATACCACCCAATTCCTAAAACTCTACATGCTTTACAATTTATCTATTTAAAAAACATGGACATTAACTCAACAAAAAACAGCAGCCCAAGGTTGTATAAAGGCAATACCACAAAAGCAATTACCAATGCCTGCTAAACTGTTAAATGTTCCTCCCTTGCCTTGTGCATATGGGCTGGTAAGATCCCTGCAGGTATTTGGGAGCCAAACCATTTAGAAATTTATAGGTCAAAACTCATAATCTATAATCCAATGTGTGTCAGATGCAATAAACCAGGAACCAGGCTAGAATTCAAAAATATATAAGTTTATTTCATGGTACCTGTACACAAGAATCTGATCTATTAACGGTCATGGCAAACTGGTGCCAGATAAGAGTCAATGGACTTCAAGGGGTGCTAGACTTAGATCTCTTATGGGGGCATAGAGACTCCAAACTGCTGATATGTTTGACCCTCAGCCTGGTCACCTTCTACACTGTGGGAACTAAGAATTGGCATTATATTGCAGTCTCCTAATGTATTTTGTAACTGTATTTTGTAACAATTATAATTTTTAGGTCACATTAGAGACAGTTGCATACAGAGTACATTATTATAACCTAAGTGCATGAGGATGAAAGCAAGTCACTGCAGCCAGGGCGTCACTATCTAAATAAGTCTGCAATTGGTGTAGCAGCAGTGGTGGGTTGCTACCGGTTTGCCCTGTATTGGGTGAACTGGTAGTGGTGGTGGCGGGAGGCTCCACCCACCTGCCGAGATACTTCTGCACTTGCGCAAAAGTGTCGCACACACAAGCACATGAGCAAAACGGTAGCAAACTAAATTGAAACCCACTACTGTGTAGCAGCCTACATTGGGCATTTCCCCATTCCTCAGTAGATTTTGCCTGCTGTTCCAGTTGGTGTTGTGAGTCCAGGAGGCTTGTAGATCACTTTATTCAACATTTTTAAAGTTGGCTTGGTAGAACTGCTTCAGATGAAACTGAGCTATTTGAGCTAGTTCAGAATATGTTCATTGTATAAAAAAAGGAAGAAGACCAAATATGCGAATTGTAATTTATGCAAATATTGCCATTGTTGCACATGTTTTCATTATAAATGTCTCCTGCTTTTTCTCGATCTTAAACTACTGTTTTTTTTCTCTATAAGTGAAACATTTCTCCTTCTCCAGAATCAAGCTATTGTTCAATGTGAGATATCACAATATGTCTTTGTCACAATATATCTCTGAGAACAAAAAAAAATTAACCTTATTGGAAGAAATCATATCATTTTGACATTCATCATTTTTGTTGAGTATGTTGAATGAGAGAGAGACTAAGGGAGTAGGAGCGGGGGAAGAAAGCCCTGAAGTCAAAGGGAACTGTTAAACATTTTCCTTGTCATCAAAGTAAGCAGATTGTAGCCCAGCAACACTTTTGATTTCATGCCTGAGTTATGGATTCTCTCTTTAACAAATCAACTATAAACAACCCACACAGTTGGTTCTAGTAATTTTCAAAATATGATATACATACATTTAACTTTATAATCTTGTGATCAGTGCCACCATGGGGAAAAATAATAAATCAAGTTCTATTGTGCTGCTTTATATGCTGCTGGAATGCGTAGCTGCTGCGCAGATATTTGATTGATTTGTCACACATGGATAGGGATACATGGATGGGGCTTATCAGTGTCACTTTTGGTTTTATAAGCCTACAAGGCAGCCACAAGCCTCACACCATACTGTGATATGTTTCTTCCTGACACACCTATTTATCTTTATTTATTGAATATCCTCAGGTTGCTTCTGGGAAGAATCTCTTGCTTCCCTCTCAGTGTAAGAAGAAAGCAGATCGAGTAAAGTTGATTAACACACACACACACACACACACACACACACACACACACACACACTATAGCCTGAAGTCTTAATTAATATCATTTTGTAAGCCTCACTGAATTTAGTGGGGCTATTATTTATATACTCCTGTATATAAATATTTATAGAATTGGACTTTGTAAATTGTCTATTTCAAATCTTCATCATAATTGAAATTGTCATATGGTAAATTTCATCTATTGGGATGAGCAATATTTTGATGGAGTCACACTTAACATCTGTGGACAGTACTAGGTACAGAACTAATGCAAAGTGGGTGCAGCTGTGCCATGTAGGTGGATATGACCATGGTAGTAATTGTGATGGTGGTGATGCCTGGTTGAGGTAAAGAAGGACACGAGAGTTTTATTGTTTTTGAAAGGGTTAATGCTCTCTTGGCCTAAGCAGCATATAGCCAATCTAGGCTGATCTTGGAAACTAAGTAGATTTGGCCCCAGTTAGTACTTGAATGGAACTCCAGAACTGAACACTGGAATGGGAAATTGGAGGAAAAAAATCTATAAAAAAGCAATTACTTCCATAACCCTGTGAAGAAAATGGCTTGGAAGCTGTTACCTAGGCATCAAACACAGTTTAGTATTTCTTTACCTTTTAAAGCCTATTTTAGGATTTACATTACAATTGTTCTGAAACTCTTGTTTCAAAACAGTATGAAAATGTACTTCCCATTTTCAATAGTAGTGTCAGAATGGTTTTGGGTGCCACAAAAAAAGGGAAGCAACATAAATGCACTTGATTCCTTGTATTTCATCTCTTTTGTGAAAAAGAGTGGGGATAAAACTCTGGGTTTTGATTCAAAATAAATTGCAGTTTCTTTAGTTCAACTAAATCTGGGAAGCTGTGGTGTGTGCAAGTTAGTTAAAGCAAAATGTCAAACTCCGATTTGACTTCCATTTAATACAAGATGGTTTGGATTATAATTCATATGCAGAAGCAAATGACAAGGAAATTGTGTAATGGGAATTGTTTTCTGATTTTTGGCATTTATTTAGCTTTCTGAATGTTTGTCATTAAATTTTGACAAACAAGATCAACATATAAAACAAAGGCTGCATATCAAATAGAAGGATTTTTTTTAAAAAAATATGTTTGCCTTTTTTGGAGAATGCTATGTATTATAAGATCTGTTCTGAAGACATAGTATCCTTTTTAACTGTCAGGTATTTTGTCATATTATATTTTTGTCATTGTAGCTTCTCCAAAAAAGGTATACAGGATGTTTTCGTATTTGTATTATGTTTGAGACTAATTCAAAGAGTACATTAAAGATAAAAAAAATGTTTCAGAAAGAAGAATCTGTTTCTCTTTTAACAAAAGCATCACCAGTTTATTCCTGTATGTCACAAAACACTTAACACTTCCTGCTCTTCTTGAAAACATTTTGACATCTTTGTTTTTAACAGCCCTTTCATAGAAAAGGATGTTCATGCTTATGCAATGATGCATTTTTAAGCTTGTTTCATAACACCTTCTACATAGTTGACATATATATTACCAATTGTTAAAATCAATCTACAATTTTATTTTTTTATTTTATTTATTTTGATTTTTATACCGCCCTTCTCCAGCAGGACTCAGGGCAGTGAACAGCCGAGATAAAACAGAGCATTCAAAATTTAAAAAACAGTTTAAAAAGTAATTAAATAATTTCGGCCCACAATTTAAAACAACCCAATTAAAACCAATTTCAAATTAAAACCGAACGGATGGGATCAAGCCAGCCCGGCTAGATGAAATAAACGAGTTTTCAGGGCCCAACGAAAAGTCCGGAGGTCTGGTATCGTGTGTATCTCTGGGGGTAGGTCGTTCCAGAGGGTGGGTGCTGCCACAGAGAAGGCTCTCCCCCTGGCAGTCGCCAGCCAACCTTGTCTGGCGGACGGCACCCTGAGGAGGCCCTCTCTGTGCGAACATCCTGGCTGGTGGGAGGCTATTGGCAGCAGAAGGCGGTCTCGTAGATACCCTGGCCCTAAGCCATGGAGCGCTTTAAAGATGGTCACCAACACCTTGAAGCGCACCCGGAAGACCACCGGGAGCCAGTGCAGCTCGCTCAGGTGAGGTATCACATGGGAGCGCCCCGTCGTTCCCATAATCCCCTGTGCGGCCGCATTCTGGACCAGCTGAAGCATCCGGGTGCACCCCAAGGGGAGCCCCATGTAGAGAGCATTGCAGTAGTCCAGGCAGGAAGTGATGAATGCATGAGTGACCGTGCGTAGGGAGTCCTGATCCAGAAAGGGACGCAACTGGCATATCAGGCGAACCTGATAAAAAGCCCCCCGGCCACAGCCATCATATGCTCTTCTAAAGACAGCTGTGCATCCAGGAGGACACCCAAGTTGTGAGCCCTCTCTGTGGGGGCCAGTGATTCACCCCCAATAACCAGCGATGGCACCAGCTGGCTATATCGGGACACCGGAAGCCACAGCCACTCGGTCTTGGAAGGGTTGAGTCGGAGCCTGTTTCTCCCCATCCAGGCCCGCATGGCCTCCAGGCACCAGGACATCACTTCACGGGCATCGTTGGGGTGGCCTGGGGTGGAGATGTACAGCTCGGTGTCATCAGCGTACTGATGGAACTCCACCCCAAAGCCACGGATGATCTCACCCAGCAGCTTTACATAAATGTTGAACAGAAGGGGCGAGAGGACCGACCTTTGTGGTACCCCACAAACAAGGCACCTCGGGGTCGACCGCTGCCCCTCTGGTCAACACAGATTGTGACCGGTCAGAGACGTAGGAGGAGAACCACCGCAAAACGGTGCCCCCCACCTCCCACCCCCCCAATCGGCGTAACATGATACCATGGTCGATGGTATCAAAAGCCGCTGAGAGATCTAATAGGACCAGGATAGAGGAGCAACCCCTATCCCGAGCCCTCCAGAGATCATCCACCAATGCGACCAATGACTTTAAGAATATGAGAAAATACATTGCAGGGTATTTTTTTCATTTGCACACCTATAAATCGCTTATATTAAGCAATGTTTCCTCCTTGAGGAAGATGGGCCACACAGAAATGTGAAAAATAAATACATTTCAATTTCAATGTGAAAAAAAAAAGAGACTTTGGAAAAAGTGCAAAGAAGAGCAAATAAGATGATTAAAGGCCTGAAGACTAAAACATATGAAGAACGGGTGCAGGATTTGGGATTGGCTACTCTAGAGAAAAGAAGGTGTAAGAGGGGACATATTCCATATTTGAGAGGCTGCCACAAAGGGGAGGGTGTCAATTTATTTTGGCTTTTGACCTGCAATGGTCTTGTAAGTGATTTTTGCTTAAATATCAGTGAAATCCTTTGCATAATCTAGAATCATCATAACACAGAGTATTGGTCATGTGATCATTTTTAAATGCATGCTAGCAAACATTAGAACAATCGCATAGTAGATACAGGGGAAGCCAGAATCATTTGGGATAACATTTGATCCCAATCTTATTTAGGCTCATACTTTAGTTAGTCAATAGGGCTGCTGTGACTATTATAGACTTTATATTTGCTTTTCTCCACTGAATTTGTATGCAATAAAGGTATATGTATGCAACCATAACATATACCTTTATTCAACTTACAGCAGGCAACATTCCCACCCAAGTTGTGGAACAAGAAATAGGTCCTATACTTCTAAGTCTAATTTATTTGCTATAAAAGTACTTTCAGATGAATTCTGTTTTACCAAATTCATGTATTTTCCCTTCTTATTAGCTGGAAGTTAACAGTCAGTTTGGAATTGTTCATCAAGTCCCTTCCAACTCCATTTCATATTGCTGTATTTTTCCACACAATGGACAGGTATATGTTGTAACACTTTGTGCTTCAGGCTTGCTTTCATATTGTTGAAATTTGCTACACCGTATAAACCTTTATTCCTATTCCTATACAAGGAATCGTGTAACTGTTCCTGTTGTGATGGAGAAAATGAAGAATTATAAAGACTAACACCACAATTTAACGCTTCACAGAAAGAGTGTATACCATTCCTTCTCTGTGGACAAGCGCACTAATTAATATTTATTGCACCTGTCATACCTGTAGCCGTGGTCAATCCATTGCTGCAGCAGCTCAATGGAAGGCTGGGCACCGTCTCTCTCCTTGGCAGGCATGTTTAGGTCATCAACAAAGGCAAAAGCTCTTTTCCCTAGTGGAGTGCTATCAAGCCCTCTTCTTTCTCCTGCAAAATTAAACCATTAATTTTATTCACGCTAATTTTCACCCAGGCCTGGAACAGCAGGGAAAAAACAGAATGGAGAGAAAGATATATAAAAGGGAAACCTCTCTTTATAGAGAAACTGCCAGGCGTTACTGCTACAATTGGCTCTTCTGGAATCCATGACCTTTGATTTTTATCGGCTGTGCCTTAAAGGTCAAGGAAGCATAGGGAGAACATAGTTATAAATCCACATGGAGTTTAATCAAAGATGGCAAGCTATCCTGAAGTAAACAAGCTAATAAAACCATTCTAGTTTAAAATGCTTGTTAACAAAGTGTCAACAAAAGCATGCTGTCATTATGTGGATAGGAATTGAATTCATTAAGCAAGAAAAATAAAAATAAAGTGGCCGGGTTTGTCTCAAGCTAAGGACTATTTTCGTACCCTGATTTAAACCCTTTGCTTTAAACTAATGAATAATATTCTCCTCATGTTCTTTTTCTGTTTCCTCCAATTTGGTTTTTGTTTATCCTATCTATCAGTAACAACAGTTATAACAAGAACAACATCGACCCGTAGAAGTCTTATAGAAAGCTAGATTTTTCTCCATTGTTTATTCAAAGTATTGAGGGAGAAATGCCATCCTAGTTTTGCCAACTATATGTATAGAGTTTATCTGTCTCTCTTTCCCTCTCTCCTTTCCTCCCTCTTCCTCCCTCCTTTCCCTCCATCCCAGGTCTTTATCAAAAAAATAAAGCATAAATCATAATCTATAATAAAAGCTCCAGGTTTTCATAATTCAATCATGACATCACAAACAATGGTCAGAATTTACATTGCAATGTTATGACACAGATTTCATTACTTGAATCCGCTTGTCCCTCCTGATGATGTCTATGTGTCTATCTCTACCAACAGATGGTTTGAGTTTCAGAGCTAACCGGATCAGTACTTTAATGAAGATATTAAAAATATTTTTAAAAGAATATAGACAATATCATAACAGAAATAGGACAAAGTTTTAAAAAATTACATAAGAAGTCTTACCAGTCCTCACAGATTTTGCTTTTAGAAATCCTGTAATTTAGGTGACCTGTTAAAATCAGCTCAGGAAGTGTCGGTACTATACAGTAAACTGTTGCAAAAGTGCAATGCTATTATAATGTAGTAAGTTAAATGTATGGATTAATTTCCAAGTATCAGTAACACTTGGACAGTGCAGCATATACTGAATGTTTATTTTTGCATTAAAGACATAGAAACATATTTAGCTTTCATCAGTACAAGCCAGTACCCTGAAGAGAAAATTATTTGCAATATAGGGAAGACAAATATTATTCACATTGTTGTATTCTATCAGATCTGAATTCTCATGTGTTAATTTAATAAGGAAAAGACTATAGCACTAGCAATAGCACTTAGACTTAAATACCACTTCATAGTGCTTTACAGCCCTCTCTAAACAGTTTATAGAGTCAGCATATTGCCCCCAACAATCTGGGTCCTCATTTTACCAATCTCGGAAGGATGGAAGGCTGAGTCAACCTTGAGCTTGGTGAGATTCGATCTGCTGAACTGCTGGCAGCAGAAGTAGCCTGCAGTACTGTACTCTAACCATTGCGCCACCGCGTCTCTTATATAATGTAAGAAAGCAAGAAGATATAAACTTGGAAGATACTGTAATAAAAATTTAACAACAATGAATGGATTTGATAAAATATGCTTACACACATATAAGGTTATGCATAATAGAGCTTTGTTCCCTAAACTGTAGAGCTTCTTTATCAGCTGACAAAATCCTTCCTTTTTACCTAAAATAAATAATGTTATTAATATATTTTCAAATAGACATACATAAAATAATATAAAATAAGAATTAAATTTCATCACACACAAAATGAAAGTGGTAAAAATTACAAAACATGTCAATTCATAAAAGAACAACCATCATCTTTTTGTCTGTAAATAAAACTATATCCCAAACTCACCTGATTTTGCAAATATTTAAAGGAAAACTATGCTCTCAATGCTGACCAAAAAGTTTTTCCAAAAGAAGAGATAATATAACATTTTTCTAGTTAACCAAATATACAATTTCCTCAAAAAGTGCTAAATTATAGATCTCGGATATCTAGATCTTTATGCCTAAAATTCCTAAGGTTTATCATATGGAAAAAAAATCTTTATTTTGAATATATTAAATTGCAATTGTAATTTAATTCAGTGCAATGTACTGTACAGGTCTTTAAAAACCAGGATTTTCTGGGTAATTTTGTCATTTCTTTAACATTACTTCAAAAGGAAGAACATGACCGCACCAGTGGTGGGTTCCTCCTGGTTCGGTCCGGTTCGGGAGAGCCGGTAGCGGTGACGATATGACGTCACTGAACCGGTTCTCCCCCCCGCCCCCCTACCCCCCACCCACCCACATTATTCTTACCTTTTATTTGGTCCCACCCCCAATCTATTGCTGCCTCCTGAGTCCCAGCTGATGACTAGAGGGAAAAAAACTGTTTAAACTCTTGCCGCGGGGCTTCAAAGGGCCGTCCTACAGCTGATCAGTGTTAAAAGCACACAAATGAGTCGGGTCGTAAGTGCGAGGACTGGTCGTAAGTACGAGGACCTTCCAGAAATGACTCTGACCAGCTAGCCATGCCCACCTAGTCACATGACCTCCAAGCCACACCCACAAAATAAGCCACGCCCACAGAACCGGTAGTAAAAAAATTTAGAACCCACCCCTGGACCACACCATATAAGTTATGTGCCCTCAACTTTCTTGTAACACCAACACAAATAAGCATTAATCCATCCTTTATGAAACAGAGAGAGTGTAGAGATATCAATCAATCTATCAATCAATTATTCAACCAACCAACCAATCAATCAATCAGAATAGAGCTGGAAGGGAACTTGGAGGCCTTCTAGTCAGTTCCCTGCTTAAGCAGGAGATCCTATACCATTTCAGACAAGTTACTGTCCAGTCTCTCCTTAAAAACTTCCAGTGATGAAGCACCGACAACTTCTGAAGGCAAGTTGTTCCACTAGTTAATTGTCATCACTTTTAGGAAGTTTCTCTTTAATTCCAGGTTGCTTTTCTTCTTGATTAGTTTCCATCCATTGTTTCTTGTCCTGCTTTCTGGTGCTTTGGAAAATAAATTGACCCCGTCTTATTTGTGGCAGCCTCTCAAATGCTGAAATACTGCTATCATGTCCCCCAGGTTCTTCTTTTTTCTAAACTAGGCAAACCCAAATTCTGCAACTGTTCTTCATATGTTTTAGTCTCCAGGCCTTTAATCATCTTAGTTGCTCTTCTTTTCACTTTTTCTAAAGTCTTAACATCTTTTTTGTAATATGGTGACCAAAACTGGATGCAATATTCCAGGTGTGGTCTTACTAAGTCTTTATAAAGCAGTACTAATACTTCATGTGATTTTGATTCTGTGCCTCTGTTTATACAACCAAGGATTGTATTAGCTTTTTTTGGCTGCTGCCACACACTGCTGACTCATGTTTAAGTGATTGTCCACTAGGATTCCAAGGTTCCTGTTGTGTTTTACATGGACAAACACAGAGGCCAGGCTGCTATGAACACCAACTTTATTGATAACACTGAACGGAACAGGAACAGTCAAACCCGCGCGCAGTAAGCAAGAACGAAGAACTCGCCGCCTGACAGCTGCTTAAATAACGAGCTGTCAGATAGCGTGAACCAATCTGCGAGCCAGCATTTCCCCCTACTTTAGTTGCTTGCGTCTGCACCAATCTGCGCCCACTGGCAACACAGCCAGCGCAAGGGAAGTCATAACTGTGAGGACTCAACACCCCTTCCCACCCAGATCGAGCATGCATAGTCAGCCAAATACGCCGGACGACGCCGGCACCGCCCAGACCGCCTTAGTTCAGGCATGGTCGCTGCCAGGGGTGGAGCCGGAACTTTGCTCCCTGGAGCTATGGGGGACCCTATGCCAGCCGGAGATGGAATACCAGCATCAGCATCAAACTCGGGGACCTCCGGTAAGCCATCCACCAAGAACGATTCGGTCGGGAACGGGTGGGTTGAGTAAGGCCGGCCTGGTTGCACTCCCGGGGCCGTGGGCATTGGTGAACTCAGTGGGTCCTGAACAGGTTGCGGGTCGGACACATTGGCTACTCATTGTCTCAGTTGGTTTACGTGTCGCCGCCATACTCGACCATCAGTAAGCTGGACCCTATAAGAATAGGCCCGGTTAATTGTATTATTTGCCCCGGGAGCCACCTTATGTCATGGTTGAAGTTCAGAGCGAAGACCAGATCACCCACAGCAAATGTTCTTGCTTGCAACCATTCCCCCGGAGGCGCCTCGTGGGTATAGTTAGGATGCAGGCGATCCAGGGTGATCCGGAGTCGCGTTCCTAAGAGGGCCCCAAATAGTGGACCTCACGGCCCTTTCTGCCAAACCATTAGCATCCAGATGGAAAGGAGCTGTTTGGGCATGGCGGATGCCCAGCTTAGCGAGAAACAACTGGAAGGGTGCAGACATGAACTGCGGGCCATTATCAGTAACTATGGTGTCCAGCAGACCATGGGTTGCGAACAAACCCTCTAGGACCCTCATTACAGCCTCCATGGTGGTGGATGACATGAGTGCGAGGTCCACCCACTTCGAGTAGGCATCCACCGTGATTAGGAACGTGCAGCCGAGGAAGGGGCCCGCAAGATCCAGATGCACTCTAGCCCAGGGAGCTCTTGGCGACTCCCACTCTTGAACGGGGGCTGTGGGGGAACTGGCCTAGATTGTTGGCATTGGCGACACCGAGCCACCCACCCCTCTATGTCCTGGTCGATGTCTGGCCACCAGACATAACTACGGCCCAGGGCCTTCATGCGTACGATGTCCGGGTGGGCATCGTGGAGGCAGGACAATACACTGGATCTGAGGTTGGGGGGGACTACCACTCTATTTCCCCACAAGAGGCAGCCCGACTGCACAGACAACTTGTGTTGTCTGTGAAAGTAAGGTTAAAAACTCGGGCACCGTG